TCTATGGGCTGCTTTATTTTTCTTTTCCAAATGAAACAACTTGATGGAGGCCCAGAAAAATTAGTGTTACAATTTAAGATAATAGAAAACTCTGAAAACCAGCAACTCTTTATTACTATTACTTAAAATACCTAGCTGGATTTTTTTTTTTTTTTCTGAAAAAAGCTTGTTTCCATTTGGTCTAATGCATGGGAGAAGGCTTCAAGGTAGTTAGAAAAAAAAAAAATAGCAGTTTCGGGGAGAGGCTCAGGAAAAAGCCAGACACCAGGGCGGTGCAGAGGGGCCCCTTAAAGGCCTCTGGGTTCCAAAGGGCCTTTCACCTTCTCACCCTGGAAGTAGTTCTCCAGGAAGACACAGAGCTGAGGGTCTGCACAGGTGGAACCCAGGCCTGCAGCTCCCAAAGGGCCTGGCTCAGGTTCCTCTCCAAGGCCAGGGCAGCTTCCATGGGCCCTGAGTTTTGCCCACTCATTTTGGGGAGGCTTCAGCATGTCCTAGAGAGAATTTGTCCACCGTTCTGGTTTTTCAACTTTAAGAGATGCTCGGAGGCCTCATGCTTCTTCTCTGCCAACTCAGAGAAGAAGTGGCCCCACCCTCCAGAGCCACATCATCCAGAGGTAGCTAGGGGTGGAAGGCCCTCAGGTGCAGGCTGGCCAGGCGGTTGACTGCAGCCTCCACCCAGTTGGAATAATTCTGATGAATTTGGGAGCTCATGGTTGTTCAGCTCATGGTTGTTCATGGGGAGATAGAGAGTTAGAAACATCAATGAGAGTCCCTCGATCAGCTGCCTCTTGCACACTCCTACCGGGGATGTGCCCACAACCAATGTACATGCCCTTGACCGGAATCGAACCTGGGACCTTTCAGCCGCAGACCGACGCTCTACCACTGAGCCAAACTGGTTTTGGCTATTATTATTGATTTTAGAAAGGAAGGAAGAGGGAGATAAACATCAATGATGAGAATCATTGATTGGCTGCCTCCTGCACACCCCACATTAGGGATTGAGCCTGCAACCCGGATATGTGCTCCGACCAGAAATTGAACCATGACTTTCTGGTTCATAGGTCAACAACGTTCAACCACTGAGCCACACTGGGCTAGACTTGGCATTTTTCTTCATGAAAAATGGAAGTGATTAAAATTGTAAAAATGGCCGCAGCTGGTCTGAAGAAAAACACGAGTGCAAGCATTGTGTATTCATGTGGTAAATTTGATAAACAGAGTTTTGATGCAGTCATGGGCTCTAACAAGACTAGCAGTTGTGAAATGGAGCAGTGCTAGAATTCCAGTTGGTAACTCCAAGTAGTAACAGAAGCACTAGCTTGGATGTTGTCACACACACACATACACACACACACACACACACACATCCTCACATACTCTCTCTCTCTCTCTCTCTCTCTCTCTGACACACACACACACACACGTTCCCCATCTTGTTGGCAAATCACTATATTGCTTGTCCTCTGGAGAACATTTTGTTCACTGATAAAATAACCTGGCAATTAGACTTGGCAATTCTAATTAGACTTCTTTAGACTTGGCGATTTTCTTCATAAGACCTGTAGAAGTGGTTAAAACTACAAAAAAAATTCCTGGTGGGGAATATGGTTGAGGAAGAGTGAAAAGGAAAGAAACATAGCCAGGGTAGGACCTTGCTAGTGAGCAAAAAGACATATCATATGAAACAAAGTTTTAATTTTTATTTTACATATTTATACATAAAACTTTCAAGGAACCCTCTGAATCCAACAGAATGTTAATAGCACATCTAAAAATGAACTTCAGGTAGTCAACATTCACAAAATGTTGAAAACTGATTCAAATATACATATTACGGAGAGCTACAACTTCACTACGAGGCAGGCATGTATTTTTGACTTGTATAGCACCGTCATTTACAGTTCTTTAAAACTACAGTGGAGAATGAAAGTAGTCAATGGTAAAATACTGCTCCAACTGAAAACCTCTAAACAAATAAGAGCTACCTTTTGGATTTTGTGATGGTGTAAGCACTGTACATTTCTGTAACAATATTTTGTTAAAATGCCTGATATTTAGTGGCACAGTAAAAAAAAGAAAATTAAAATAAATTAAAAAGCAAAGGCCAGGAAAGTACCCTGCTTGAATGCTGTGGCGTGAGGTGGTCAGCTTATCTAGAGGAGTATTGGGCTCAGGAGCCGAGAAAAATGGAGGGAAGGCGAGGCTTCTTTGAAGCTCGTGGGCTCTCGTGTGAGGGGGAGGTTTACCTTTTGGAGGAGGCTGCACGTGTTGCCCTTGGGCTCCTCCGCCAGCCCGCCAGCCTGGGGAGGTGTGGCGTGGGGGGTAGGGGGCACGCTACCACATTCCAGACAGAGATCTGGGAAACATCCACAAAGCTGCCCGCCCTGACAACCTATGGAGAGTAAAAAAAACCCTCTTGTTCAGGGGAAGTGGCTTGAATGACAGAGATAAGGAAAAAAGGACCGCTCTACATCTGGCCTGTGCCGATGGCCATCCGGGAGTGGCCGCTCTCCCTCCGAGCAGACAGGAAACGCCTGTTGCACCCCGTGACTCTGAGAACAGAACAGCTCTGATGAAGGCCACACGATGTCAGGCAGAGGAATGGGGCCACTATTCTGTTAGACCATGGTGCTGGTCCAAATGCAGTGGGCTCCCCACTGCGCTGTCACTGGTGAAAATACAGCTCTAGCAGCAAAGCTGCAGTCACACAAGGCAAGCACTGAAGCGAACACAAGGATGACCTCAAACCATTTTCACTTATAGGAAAGCAGAGCAAATGATGGGATTTTTTTTTTTTTTTTTGTTTTTTTACTAAATAGAGGCACAAAAATCAATCAGATAAAAAGGAGTGACCAACTAACGTAGAAGAAGACCTAAAAAGTGTTCTGAAAGTAGCAATCTTGGTCTACAGGAGTCTATCCAAGACAAGCGTCAGGAAAAACAAACTCAAAGACAGCGAATGAGAGTTCTGCAGAAGCAAGGACCAGAGCGGGTGAAGTGGCTTGAATGACAGCGGTAAGAAATAAAGGACCACTCTACAGCTGGCCTGTGCCGATGGCCATCCGGGAGTGGCCGCTCTCCCTCTGAGCAGACAGGAAACGCCTGTTGCACCCCGTGACACTGAGAACAGAACAGCTCTGATGAAGGCCACACGATGTCAGGCAGAGGAATGGGGCGACTATTCTGTTAGACCATGGTGCTGGTCCAAATGCAGTGGGCTCCCCGCCGCGCTGTCACTGGTGAAAATACAGCTCTAGCAGCAAAGCTGCAGTCACACAAGGCAAGCACTGAAGCGAACACAAGGATGACCTCAAACCATTTTCACTTATTCCACAGCAAAGCAGAGCAAATGATGCGATTTTTTTTTTTTTTTTTTTTTTTTACTAAATAGAGGCATAAAAGTCAATCAGATAAAAAGGAGTGACCAACTAACGGAGAAGAAGACCTAAAAAGTGTTCCGAAAGTAGCAATCTTGGTTTACAGGAATCTATCCAAGACAAGCATCAAGAAAAACAAACTCAAAGACAGCGAATGAGAATTCTGAAGACGGAGGACCAGAACAGGGTTGCACAGAACTCCTGACTCCCAGCCTATGTAGGATGATGGAGACTTCAAGGTGAAGTGCTCTCTTGTGAAACGGACTTTTCCTGCTCTGAATTTAATTTTGTGTTGCACTTACTCCTCAATTTAAAGTAGGGGCCTGCCTGTCACTGTTTTATGTTTTTAAGGGAAAACTTGTCTTTTCTATTGTACGATTCCTTTTACACGAAATTTCCAGAATAAGCGAATCCATAGGGACAAATCAGACAAGTGGCTGACAGTGACTGCAGTAGGGGGCATGGGGAGTGACCATTTCATGGGGATGTGGTTGCCTTTTGGGGTGGCGAAATGTTTTGAAACTAGATAGAAGTGATCATTGCACAACACTGTAAACGTACCAAAACGCTACTAGATTTTTCATTTTAAAGTGGTTAATTTTATGTTTGGTGAGCTTTACTCACTAAAAAAAAAGAAAAAAAGAAAAAAAAAAGAAAGAATACTGCTGCCATAACAACAATCAATCAATCCAGGAAGATCATGGTACACATCTTAAAAATAATCCAATGGGTTCATTCAAAGCCTGCTTTTTAGTGAAAGGTTCCATTGCTAGTTTGAGACTTCCTTGTTTCTTGAGGTGGGCCTGTGTTGCTGCTGCTTTCCCTTTTGGGGCTGCTTTTCCTGTGTCTTGGGGATTTGGAGTTGTGTTCTTATTTTATTTGTCTCCAGGTATCTTTATTTATTTATTTTTTTTTAATGTTTTTAATTGATTTTAGAGAGAGAGAAAGGAGAGGAAGAGAGAGGGAGAGAGAAACATCAATGTGAGAGAGAAACATCGATTGGCTGCCTCCTGCACGTCTCCTACTAGGGATTGAGCCCACAACCCGGGCATGCGCCCTGACCCAGAATGGAACCGGACGGCACTCAACCAACTGAGCCACACCAGCCAGGGATCAAGGTAACTTTTGATTTCTTCCTTGGTCTCACTGTTAGCCCATTCACTGTTTGGTAGCGTGTTATTTAGCCTCCATGTGTCTGTGTGTTTTTCAGGGTTTTTTTTAATTGATGGCTTGTTTCATGCCTTTGTGGTTGTGGGTGGGTGGGAGGTGTGTGGAATGATTTAAATCTCTTTAAATTCATCTAAGCTCGTTTTGTGGCCAAATACGTGGTCTGTCCTACAGGGTGTTCCATGTGCAGTTGAGGGGAACACGTGCCCTGCAGTTTTGGGGTGTAATGCTCTGAAAATGTCAATTAAATTCATCTGGTAAAATATGGGGGGGGGGGGGGGAAGAAGGAAGAAGCAAAGGCCAATCAATCACTGGACATGAAGCTTCAGACATTATCAACGAATGACTAACACTGATGCTTATTTGTTTCTGCGCCACCTTGCACAACAGCGTTTTTACAACCACAGAAGCAAAACGATGTCTAGCTTGTCCTCTGATGGGGATGGCTCCTCTTCACTTCGCAGGCATTTTCTCTGCCATGTGCTTCTGCTGACTTTCGGCATGTCTGCAAAATCAATAAACCAACTGGTTAGTGCGAAGGGGAAAGATCCAAGCTGCTTTCCAATCAGCAGCTAAAGCATATGCACAGTGAAATCAAGAAACAGATCTTAAGTCAGATGGATTTGCCCTCCTAAGTTTTTATATTCTACGCACGAGCCCTGGTATTTCATGAGCCGTTGGATTAACCTCAGACAGGTTAAAGTGCTGTGTTTAAAAAATGAGGAGCGATAAGTCTCTGGGATCGTTTATTCAACAAATGTCCCCTAGGTGCCCGGCGCGGTTGCTGATGCTGGGGGTGGAGGTGGGGGGGTTTGGTGGTGAGTAGACAACAGGGTCTTTGTTCTCACGGAGTATTCCAAAGGAGAGAGATAAGAAAGGAACAAGGAGCAAACAGGAGTGAGCAGACAGGAAACAGGCGCTAAGCAGAGAGTCAAAACAAGGTGGGGTGACAGAAAGTAACTTCGTGACTACTTTATCTGAACACATGCCCAAGACACACATATTGGCAAGGCTCCCAATAGGAATCGGAAGCCAGCAATCTAACGCCATTCTTATAAAGCTACTGTCTTTCTAGCAAATGGTAGGCTTTTGTAGATGTATACTTTCCCCCCTCAAATTCCAAAGGGCATGATCATGGCAGTGAGGGTAGAGGTAGAATGGGGTGAGTCTTATTATTCACCCATCCCTACCACGGCCTTTGAGCCCAAGTGTGGTCGACTTGGCACGTGGCCGGTGGAGCTGGTGGGAGGAGTGACTAGGCTGCTTCTATCACTTACACGGGCACTAATTAACCGAATGGTAGGGTCTCAAGGCTGCAAAAGACACGTGTATTGAAGAAGGATAAGGATATTAGGAAGTTGCAGATTTGACAAGAGAAAAGCATCTCGGGGTGTGGCTCCCAGCTATACCCAAAGGATCGGGCAGTTTTGTGTGCTGCCCTCATCTGGGTGGTCAATGACGTCAAGTTTAACTCGCTGTTTTATGCAGCAGAGTGTCTCTCATCTATGGTTCAGAGAAGACAAACCACAAATACGTTCAGAAACAGGGAAGTCACAGAAGTGTCTTGCCACAGCCAACAGCCCACAAATAATTGGTGATATTCACTTAACAATAAAGAAACTCAAGAAAAAGATATCCTCTTTCCTTAAAAAAAAAATGCTCTTTAACAGACCACCTCAAGGCCTTATTTATATGTATAAAAGAATCTTGATCATATTCATAAAGTAGCTCCTGGCCCCCCTTAACAAATTCAGTTCAAAAAATATTTTGATACCCAGTAAGCTATAATAAGATTCCACTATAGCTAACTGAATTCTAGTTCTTATGGCAGTTTTAAAATATGTATCTATGAGTATGTGTGTGCGCACACGCGCGCGCGCGCGCACACACACACACACACACACATGCACACACAGAGCAAGGGTTTTGTTTTTTTCTTTCTGAGAAAGAAGGAAGAACAGACAGGATATTGCTTAGGGAAATATTAAAAATTGGGTATTATTTTGAGAGATATATACAAGGGTGAAAACAGATATACCATACAACCCAGCAATTCCATTTATGAGCACTTCCCCAAAGAAACCGAGAACACTAATTCAATGAACACCCATATGTTCATTGCAGCATTATTTGCAATAGCCAAGATATGGAAAGCAACCTAGGTGTCCATCAATAGATGAATGGATAAAGATGTGGCGCGCGCACACACACACACACACACACACACACACACAAAGAGAGAGGGGGGAATATTATGCAGCAATAAAAAAGAATAAAATCTTGCAATCTGTGACAACATGGATGGATCTAGAAGCTATTAGGCTAAGTGAAATAAGCTGGACAGAGAAATACAAATATTATATGGTTCCACTTATATGTAGAATCTAAAAACAAAACAAACAAATAAAACAAAAATAGATGAATAGAAACAGAGAAGGGAATATAGTCAACAATATTGTGATGAGTTTGCACAGTGACATATGATTACTAGAATTAGTGGAGTGATCACATTGTAAGGTATAAAAATGTTGAATCACTATATTGTACAGAAACTAATATAACTAATATAAGACTGTGTAATAACTATGCTTAATAGTAAGTTTCAAAAATGGTGTACTTCATTAACATTTTAAACAAAGGAGACAGAGGGATTTCAGGCCATACAATTAAAAGGTACTCATCAGTTATTTACAGGAAAGCCCCAAACGGACTCCTTTTTATCAACAATCATTATTGAGGACCTACTAGGTACCTGGCAGTCCCTGTCATCAGCTATGGGATGCAGTAATGAATGAGAATGGTGCTGTCTCTGCTTTTAGTGGGTTTACAGTCAGTCAGGCAGGGACAGACAGCCGGCGATGCAGCATGGATGACTAGTCTCCACGTAGGAGTATCCTACCACGGTGGAGAGCCGGGGGGCCAGGGAGCACGTTTCCAAAAAGGCTTCATAAAACCAGTGGTCCTCATTCCACTGAAATCATCTGGGGAGCTTTAAAAACTCCTAAAACCCCTAAATGCCACACCACATGATGATTGAGTCAGGATGGCTGGGGCTGAGACCCAGGCAGCCACACGTTAGGAAGGTCCCCGGGGTTCCAGTGAGCAGCCGCATCTGGAAGCCCCATTGCCACGCTCTTCAGTGGCTCCGACCTGGCTGCAAAGCTCTGGGACTGCTACAGTGAGGGACATTTAAGGACCCTCCCTTTCCCCCATCAGCACAGTTAAAACCCACCAGTCAGCACAGTTAAAACCCACAGTTAAAACCATTAAACGTCTCCCTACTGACTCCAATTTAAAGGATGCCTCCACCACCTTTAACTTAGCGACTCCTCTCCTTTGCCCCGCTTCCCAGTCCCAGGATGACACCATCTGAAAGGTAGATGCAAAAAAAAAACCATACTGCAATCCTAATAACTTAGCCCTTCGAGAGAAGGAGGTCCTCCCCATGTCCTCCTTGCAACGAGTGAGGCCAATGCTGCGTTGAGGGGCTGGGAAAAAGGCTCTGCTCCCATAGAATTTATCAAAGATGTCGGTCCGGGTGTCTATTTCACACTGGTTTCCCATAATCTCAATACGTGCATGCCCATTTCTTAGACTGACAAAAAGGGATGCATCTTATAGCTGTTGGTGCAGTGCCTGAATACATCTGTAGGTGGCAATACTATTACTGAGTGCTATTGCGGTTTGAGTGTTATTTTCAGATGCAGGCAAATATGCTCAGAAGGTATGAGAAGGCCTTCTGGCTTTTTGTTTTGGTCTTTTTGTTAGGGATGAGGCAGTATACTATTCAAAGCCTACAAAACAGAGTGCTACCCCTAGATAGGTCTTTTTTTTTTTTTTTTTTTTTTTTTAAAGCCTAAACAGAGTTCTGTGGCACTTATTTTGCCACCTAGACTATTTTTAAAAAAATATATTTTTTTGATTTTTTTTTTTTTTAGATAGGAAGGGACAGAGATAGAAAGCTAGAAACATCGATGAGAGAGAAACATCGATCAGCTGCCTCCTGCACACCTCCCACTGGGGATGTGCTCGCAACCAATGTACGTGCCCTTGACCGGAATCGAACCCGGGACCCTTTAGTCTGCAGGCTGACACTCTATCCACTGAGCCAAACCGGTTTTGGCAACCCAGACTATTTTTATAGCACTTGCATTCAGAAAAATATTTTTCCCAGAGTGCCACACCACGAAGGGGTCCTTGGGAGCATTTTGACCACATGTTTTCAGGCTCCTTTAGGATGGCGGTGGGTCGCGTGGCCAATGCCAATGTTATTGTGACAAGCAATGTTCTTTCTTTCCTCGGTGAGCCTTCTGCCCTCTGAATACCACTTCTGGGATTGATGGTAATTGTTGCCTTCTGGTTTAAAGACTTCAGATAAGCTGTCTATAAAAAGGTGCCTAAGTAAATGTGAGATACCAGGAATGCCTGAAGGATCTTGTGTACTTTCTATACTTACGATGACGAGCTTTTCCACAAGGAAAACTAACAAATGCAAGACCTTGGCCAGCATTAGCCTTGTTTCCTTGTCGCCTGGGGAAGGAGGCACTCTTTACCGCTTCACAGAGAGGCACTTGGCGCCAGGCCCGGCTAGAGACTCAAGTCCCAGAGTCTCTCCCCACCCCGCCCCCCTTTCCCCGGTAAGAGCAATCTGGTGGCACTGGTACCGTGGAAGGATGCCAGTGCCCCTGCCTTCTGGGCAGAGCAGATGCGATCAAGAGTTGGGTCACAAAACAGCAAGTGCCATTTTGTGGCACCCACCCCGTGGCGGCTCATCCGCTGGAAACTCGCCAGCCTGGAATGGCTTAGAGCAGTGGTTCTCAACCTTCCTTAATGCCACAGCCCTTTAATACAGTGCCTCATGTTGTGGTGACCCCCAACCATAAAATTACTTTCGTTGCTGCTTCATAACTGTAATTTTGCTACTGTTAATGGATCGTAATGTAAATATCTGTGTTTCCCGATGGTCTTAGGCTCTACAGCAGCGGTGCACAACCTGTGGGTCTTGACTCACAGGTTGAGAACTGCTAGCAGGGTCACCTAAGACCATCGGAAAACACAGATATTTACATTACGATCCATTAACAGTAGCAAAATTACAGTTATGAAGTAGCAACAAAAGTAATTTTATGGTTGGGGGTCACCACAACATGAGGCACTGTATTAAAGGGTCGAGGCATTAGGAAGGTTGAGAACCACTGGCTTAGAGAATACTCCCTGGGCCAGAACCGCTGACTGCCCTGGGTGTGTCCTACGACCGTCCAGTGCCCTGGCGCCCATCACACTGGGAGGACGGCTGTGACAAGCAATGCATTTGGAAAAGAGCAGCTCTGGCCACTTCCCCTCCATCTAAGCAGCTGACACCAGCCGGGGTTAGGTGGGGAACCCAAGGGAAGAAAGGAAGGAGTTCTCCAGAGAAGGAGTTCTCTCTTGCCCTAACTCTTAAACTTCAGACCAGGGCTTCTCTAGAAAGGGCGAAACATCACCAACCTGGTCAAGTCTTCGATGTCCACCAGCATGGCGTCCTGTTCTGTGTGCAGCTCATCTCGGATGAGCAGCAGCTGAACCAGCTCCTCATTCAAGCCTGGGGCAGAGAGAAGAGAGCACTTAAAAACAGACAGGAGGCACCCAGGTAAGTCTGCATCCAGGTCAGAATGGGTAACGATTTCTGGGCACATGTATCACAGATCCATCTATCTGTCTGTCTATCTATCTATCTTTCTATCATCTATCTAACTATCATCTATCTATATCATTTCTATTAAAATTTAGAATTCTTATATGAGCTTCCCATAAGCTCAGGGGAAGCCATCAATTTGAGAACATGACTAATCTGCATAATTATAAGAGTGTTGGCAGGAAAGGAGTCAAGTACAAAGGATTTCCAAAAGCATTAACTTAGAGTGGGAAAATTTTTTCACTGTTAGGGAAATAGCTTGTTAGAAAAAGCGAGATTTTGTTTGAAAAACAAAACACAAAAACGTGAGCAAAAATGCCTGGGTTTTATTACGTTTTCCGCTGCGCCTGCCACACTGAGAGTCGGAGGGGCCTCCGGGCCTGACTCGGTGCCCAGCGGGAGAGGAAGGTGCCTCAGGGATGCTCCCAGGCTTCCCGCGGCCCAGGAAGGAGCAGCTCTGTGTGCGGGCTGCGCCGGGAAAAGTATTAGCGGAAAGCCAGGGCGTAAGGCCCGAGGAAATAAGCCCCAAAGTCTCTGGACAACAGGTACCAAGGCAAATATTCCTCAGGGCTTATGCTGGGAATAAGATACACGGACACATTTCTCATCTTCCTGAAGTCAATGCACGGGTCAATCTGACTTCTGCCTCTGAAGGGGATGAACAAGCAATGGGCTCTCTCTTGCGTTTTCCCCTCAGTTCAGCTAAGAATCAAAGCTTGTAAGTCTGGACACATGGACACAGGGGAGAACAACTCATTTAGCGAGAACGCTGGGCCCGGAAACCAAAGAAAGGAAGTGGGTACTTAGCCAGGTCCCCCTGGGAAATGCTTTTAGAGATCCTGACTTCAAACGATGCATTTGTCTGCCTTTAGTTCAAACTAGTTTCCAATTTTAAAAAGGAAGGAAGGGAAAGAACCATACTAAGAGTCTAAAACATCATCTGCCCCTGAAAAGGACGAGACGGCAGCTTATTAGTATTTAAAAATCCAAGGAAGATGCTGCAGTAGTAGAATACCCCTTGACAGAGTAACACTCTCAGTAATTTACGCAACAGAATTAAAATGTAGAATTTTTAAAAGTCCATTGAATCTATAGTTTCTTAATTAAAATGTTAAGCTCTTTCCCTCAATTTATTTCTTATTAAAAATATTTTTACAATGAAAAAATTTTTATGTTGACATTATTGCCAAACCCCCATGACCCTTTTGTCCACCCTCACCTCCCTCAGCCTCCCCCTCCCTTGGCCTTCACCACACTATTGTCCCTGTCCATGGGGCATGCATACATGTTCTTTAGCTAATCCCTTCGCCTGCTTTATCCAGCCACCCTACCGCCCTCCCCTCTGGCTCCTGCCAGTCTGTGCCATGTAACCATTACCCACTTGTTTACTAGATTCCACATATTAGTGACATCAGTGGAATTTGTCTTTCTCTGACTGGCTTATTTTGCAGATGAAAAAATTCTTTCTCTCTTCTTGATTTTAAAACAATGCTGAATGTATTAACTTGACACTGAAGATGTCCAATTCTTTCTAATTTTTCCAGTGTGTTCTCGGGGTAGGGTTTTATGCTCGTACGCAGGACAGTGTCTACATAGTGCATAGGAATTTTTTTCCCCATATGAAGTTTTTAACTGTTTATTATGGGAAACTCCAAACTGATACAAAAGCAAAGAGCATAGTTTAAGAATGCCCCATGTGTCCATCTAGCTTCAACTAGCCAATCTTGCCTCATCTCTCTGCCTTTCTCCTAGTGGACTGTTTTAAAGCAAATTCCAGACATCACATTATTTCCTTTTGGTGCTTCAGTATATACTTCTAAAAATGGGGCTCTTTTTTTAAAAAAAATTACCATAATCACAATATCCTCATCGTATGTGAATAAATACATCTTTAATAAAACATTTAGTCAGTGTTCAATTTCCCCATTTAGCTCCTAAAAATGCTTTTTATAGTTAATTTGTCTGAATGCATTTGGTTGGCATCTCTCTCAGGTGGCTTTATCTGTAAGTGCCACCATATGTTCCAGAGGATTCGTGAGTCTATCTGGCCTAACCACTCTGCCCAGGAGGGCATGCTCTCTCTTCACTGGCCAAGCAACTGACCTTCTCTGCACCTTAAGTCAGTGCAAGCCAGTGCCACTCACTCGCTACCCCTCCTCACTGCAGTTATTCTGGGGGAAACGGGCCCACATCTGATCACCCTGAATTTTCATATATTGGTCCTAACTACTCTTACCACCTGGAGTACCGCAAATAAGTCGCCTTTGATTTGATGACCCAAAATGAATGTTGAGGATATCATTGTATAACAAATGAGCTGTAACTACTAGATTGTATTCTAGAAACAGGTGTTGTTAGCCAGATACATGCCAAGTGCTTGCTATTTAAAATAAATAATAAAGACCTAACCTTGAAAAATTTGTCAAGTTTCTGAATATTTCTAAGTAATGAAAAAGGGAGAGAGAGAGAGAGAGAGAGAGAGAGAGAGAGAGAGAGAGAGAGAGGGAAAGAGAGAGAGAGAAGGGGAGAGAGAGAGAGAGAGAGAGAGAGAGAGAGGAACAAACTTGTAGGCACACCCACAGGAGGTGCCCAATGAAATGCTGCAGAAAGGATTTAAGTTGAGGAAGTGGTGCTGTCCCATTGCATTTCCCACTTGTCATTCCATTTCCAAGCACACCTTACACTTACTTTCTATCTGAGAATGGAGATCATTGACTATCACTTGTAGCTGCCCAATAGTCATGCCCCTCAGGTCAGCGGGCTTTAAACTCCTCTTCATCAAGCATTCGCTTATATGAGGCATGTGTGGCAGCTGCGGAGACAGAGGGAAGAGATGGACGTGTGAACAGAGCAGCAAGTACACTGAACCCAAGACCCAGTTTTCCCCGAAAAGACTGCCCCTCTCATTCACCCACTTCAAGTTCTGGGCTTTAGAAGCTTTCCCAATCTAACCTTCTCTAACCATCTCAGGTACACACCACAATGTCTGAAACACTATCAGCATCAAAATGCTATCCTACTCAGACCAAAAGCTTTCTGGCTCTGACACAGGCTGTGACAACCGCAGTCCATTACTCTATACACACGTGAATTACCGGGGAGCTCAAATAATATCGATGACATGAAAGCAATCAATAATATCAGCCATGTATTAATTCATACCATGTCACAAGCACTGTGCTACGTGCTCTGACATAAGCTATTGTTTATACCCATTTAATAGATGAGGAAGCTGAGTGTTATGTAAGCTGACCAGAGCCCCACAGTAGGTCAGTGGCAGAGAAAAATTTAAACTCCAAAGTGCTGGGCTCTTGTCCACTAAGCTACACTGTCTTTGTTGAAAGGCAGGGACTGAGAGCATAGCCGTAGTGAGTCTGCTACAACCAATGGGTTCTTAAACTGAAACTGCTTTAAAGGAATTTAAATAGTCCCATGACAGTTAATATTGTCCCTAACACACACAGTAGAGCTGAATCAAGAGCAAAGTTTTCTTTTGTGAAATCTGCTGCTTAGGCATCGTTCAGTGATGCAGCAGAAAGGAAAAAGAAACAAACTTAAATATTTCTCAATGGCAGCATTTCTCACAGACTGCCTTGGAGAACCCCAAGTTTGCATAACTCTGGTCAAGGAGCGGGGCAGCGCCAACCGTCTGCAGCCACCGGGCACTCAGCATTTGCTACTTACTAGGTCAGCGACGGGAGACTTTTTCCTGTTCTGTTTTTCCACTTCTACTTGCATTTTGGCCATGGGTTTGGCCATGGCCAGGGCCATTTTGGCTTCAGCTTGCAACTTCTTTTGCCTGGTGAGGAAATCCATATCATCTAGGGATTCAGATTCCTCTTCAGTAGTGTCTCTATCGGAATAGGAAGAGCTCTGTTTGCTCTGCGGAGGGAAAAAGAGCAGCCCTGAGCTTTGTGTGACGGGTAACATCTGGGGAGAGGGGCCAGAGCACCCCCTGAGCCCTCCCGAGAACCCCCTCTATCCATTCAGCTTGAGCCACACGATTTGATCTGTACCAGTCTCAAGTAAAAAGATAACTTTATTGCCTCAGTGTCAATACCAGACTGTGATTTTAGCATAAAGAGTAACAGACTCCTATAAAATGAAGATATTATTATATGCTAATTAGACTGGACAGCAGAATGACCATCCTGATGACCTTCTGGATGAAGCCGGGCTATGAGGGCCGGCCAAGGCAGCTGGGGCTGTGGGGGTCAAGCCTCCTGCACAAATTTTGTGCATCAGGCCTCTAGTAAATAAACAGTAGGAGGAACAGATTTATGATACACTTGAGACATTTCTTCGATTTGGTCTCAAAAGACACAGCAACATATTTAACCCAGAGCGAAGACAGCATGTTGCTCTCAGGAGTTGGACAGGATCTCAGGTACCCAGGGACCAACACGGGTTCCTTGGTAAGAAAACAAGATTGGCTGGTGAGAAAAGAGATGCATAGACCTCACTGAGTGGCGAGAATCCCAGCAACACACTCCCATGATCAGAAGGTAGTCTTCATGGTACGTGTGCAAGGAATGAGTAAGGAATATGACACACAGTTCATCCTGCTGGTTTCCCTGAGCATCATCACCTCTAGGCATGAGCTCTCCCCTGGGCCCTGCCACTCATCCTTTTAAAACGTGTCCTACTGGTGCTCTAGGCTTATATACTTCTACACTCAGGGGGGAAGGATGGGTATGTAGCATACTGTCCTTTAAATTTTTTTAGGACACGTGCAATTTCTCTTATGGTTTAACATGAAAGTAGTCGCTGCTAACTTTAACAGAGCTTACACAGCACTGCTGTATCGCAGGTTTGGGTTTCCAATCACTGCCCCATCCTGGGAGCATGCCACATCAGGAAATGCCAGCACAGCACACACACTGAGCTTCGGTGGCAGCTCTGACTCACCATGGGCGACAAGGGGGTGTCCAGGCTGGTTTCAGTCTTGCTGTCATCTGCATCGCTGTCCTTGTCACTGCCGCTGTCATTGACAAAGCAGATCTGCAGGTTCATCCCACTCTGCAGGCTGGGCAGAAGCAGACAGGACACCAATTCACTCAGCTATGTGCCATCTGGGCGCACCCAATAGAACTGTCTGGCTTTGCTAATAAAAAGCAGGACTATGTATTCTTCACATGGAGAAGTGGGTGACTAATAAGACTCTGGATTCCTCAGCAATAACATACCAGAGGATACTAATGATCCCTTGATAACTTGATAACTTGGTTAAGTGATAAAATTACAACTTTTACTAATGCCATATTACTTTTTTTCACACACATTTCACATTAGGTGAAAAATAATTTAGGCCGCATATTAGGGCCTCAAGCACAATACCAAACACACAGTTCGTGCCCAATAAATATGTGTGAGTCACTGAGTTTATTCCCGTCGACGAAGATGATGGGGTCCTCGGCCGCATGGTGTCATCTAGTGTCTTGCCCCCTGGGGACAGTCCAAGGACGCTCTCCAAGCCAGCACCCCGGCCACAGTTCTCTGAAGACTCCTTTCTTCCTCAGCTAGACAGAAGAGGGCCAACTGAAGGAAAGTTTTAGTGAAGGCAATTGCCAAAAGCCAACCAAGGGATCTCACTTCTGTCATTAGAACACACATTGCAGTTCACCCTAAAGGTCAGTGGGGGAAAAGGAGGACTATGTAATACTTTCAACAATAAAGATTTAAAAAACAAACAAAAAATCCCACCTGAAAAAATTCACCCTCGAGCCGTGGTCGGCAAACTGCGGCTCATGAGCCGAATGCGGCTCTTTGGCCCCTTGGGCGTGGCTCTTCCACAAAATACCACGTGGCGTTAGAAGAATTTTAAGTTTAAAAAATATGGCTCTCAAAAGAGATTTCAATCGTTGTACTGTTGACATTTGGCTGTGTTGACTAATGATTTTGCCAACTACTGGCCTAGGGGAATGTAAGGAACCCCAAACCCAGGCAGGAGCACAACCTGGGACTCAGTGGGGCTCCGCAGCCGCCTTGTGCTCTCAGCACCGCAGGGGGCACTCTGAGAGCTCCTGAGGCTCCAGGCGTGGAGGTGGCGGAGATGGGGTCACAGAGGGTCACCCCGCTGTGTGTCTGCTATACCCCAGGCCAGACAGGGAATCCAGTTCTTTGTCCTAATCTCTCTTGAAGTGGGACACATTTCACTGCTGTCTGGCGATGGGGAATTTTTTTTTTTTAAGAAGTCATTTTCTTAGCATCCCTAGTAGCCAGGTCTGTGTGTAAGAGAAGAGAAAGAAAAGGCAAACGGGGACCTCTCGGTTGCCAGGATCGAGGGCTTGTCTAAACCAGCATCACTGCTTCACAGGGACAAGGCAAAGAACCACTGGCCTGATGGACATTTGTATTTGATTTTTTATAAATTCCAGTGGGTAGGGATGTTTAGTACACACTGCTCAGATGACTCTATAAAGTGCTTCTTTGAAAAATGATACAGAATCCAGCGACAGAAATCTACTGATTTAACAAGGCACCACCCTTGTTATATGTATGTACTGCCACCTATTGTTCGCTTCCATCAATAGTAAAAGTCCCAGCTTATTTCCCCAGTAGGCGGGGCCTGTTCCCTTCCTGCCCTCCTGTGCTGCCAAGGAGAGCAAGGCCCGGGCTGGGCACAGGAGCCAGTAGGTGTTAGGTGCTGAGTGATCAGCTCAGGGTTCTGAATCCTCACTTCTCTGCATAGGAAGATTACTCTATGACCCTTGGTTTCCTCATCTGTAAAATGGGGTGAATGAGTCAGTGTCTTGTAGGAAGAATGAAGAGTTAGCTGAGAGCTGGGCACAAGGCAGGTGCTCTGTGCATGTTAACTACCCTCCTTCCTGTTCTGTTTGGAAGCCCAGAGGAACACAGAATTTTAAAAGTGGGGTGACTTTGCAAAGGGCCCTCTAAAGTCTCTATTGAAACACCTCGCCTGAAGGCAGCTGCACTTCTATGGCCCCAGGATTTGTCTCCATTAATTTTCTTCTAGAAAACTTTTGATCGCATATAAATCAAGTTTTAAAATTTATTGTCTATAGTTGGTAAAAACAAACAAACAAACAAACAAAAAAACACACCCAAATATCAACCCATTTTTAATAAAACCCAAGATGTATGGATTGGAAGATAATGGGAAATAAAATAGTAAATTAAAAACAAACATTTAAAAGTTAAAAAAAATTAAATTAAATCTAATTTGAATCTAAGATTAGATAACACTTTCTACTTATTGAATACTAAAGTTTTGAAAAGAAGCATCTGGCCACGGGATACTCAGATTATAAAAATATAAAACAACCCAGAATAAATTTGCAAAATAATACTGAAAACATATATATATATATATATATATATATATATATATATATATATATATATATTATTATTTTTTTTTTTCTGAAGAAAGTTTATCGTAAATTCCATTGTTCTGCCCCCAAACTGAACTTTGTGCTAGGATCAACTCAGAGCTAAATCAACCATCCCACACAGCATTTCTAACGCAAGAAAGGCAAGGGGTAAAAGGAGAGGAAGGGGGAAGGACTTAGCAGTCAGAGAAAAATGAAAAAGCACCTCAGGTAGAAATTCAGAAAATCGCCTTAGTACCACATTATCTCCGTGGGAAACCGAACAGAGCTTCTTACAGGGTGAGCCTTATAATTCCTCATAGCAGTAATCACCAAGAATGTTCCTCTCAGGAAAAGGAAATTATGTGACATAACAGCTAATGGTTCAGAGGGGATTTCTGTAAAGATGTCTTAAAACGGACTCGAGTTTCAAAAAGGATTTGCTTGCCTTTAGCCTTTAAGCAGGTTTTAAGATGAAGGGGTTCTGGGGAAATCCAACCACAGTCCAGGGCCTCGGCCTGGCTGTGGGTGAGCAGGGCCACCCACCCAGTGCTGCTGAAGGCCTCTGTGTCCAGGGTCAAGTTCGATAACCCCTGCCAGCCTGGGGAGGCATGGCTCACACCTGCACCCTGGGGTCCCTGGTCTCCATCCCTCACACCGCAGGGCCTCCATCCAGCCTCACCCACAACCAGGCTCCACTGTCTTCAAAACCTAAGCTGCGAGGGCTCTAATCTGCCTGGATCTCTCAAGCACAGTCTGAGGTGGGAACAAAACACAGCTCATCCTGCTAATTAGGGATGTGATTTAGGGTGTCCATGCCGAGGCTGCTTGATGTTTCAAGTGGCATTTGGCAGAGCACTGCCTGTGAGGGCTGCCTGACTGCTGCTCCCTGCCTATGGATGTTCCTTCTAAAGGATCTGCATCCTGGTTCCCCCAGAAACCTCTTCTCCTCATGCACCACAAGGCGGTGGAAAACCACACTACCGACCAGAGCTACGAACAGGGAGCCGAGAGCATCTGGAGAGAGGGACCGCTCTCAAAGATGAAGGGATGAAGACTGTCGCAGAAGTGGCTCTCGGAGCCACAGTGCCTCGGCGGGGAGTGTGAAGACATTTATCCAGTGGAGAGGCTGTTCAGCACCCACGTCTGCTTGGTCTTTCCTGAGAGGAGAAGGGCTTCTTGGAAAATGCTTGTGCTGACTTCCAACCACCGCTACCAGGGAGATTACAAAAACATGCACAAAACGGGGAGGATGGTAGAGATGAGAAGTTCTCAACTACTAAGAGAATGCTTCAAAAACCTAGCCAATGGTCACAGGATTTGGAATAAAGACGACGCTCCCCCCGTGGCCCCCCCCCCCCCAAAAAAAATGCAAGGACAAGACCAGTTTATTTTCCTGTGACAAACAATGCAATGGTCCTAAAGTTTGCCGAATTGTGAGTTGGGCCTCGATCCCTGGCCTTGGGTGTGGAGAAAGGGACTGGGCGACTGCAGCCAGCTCTGAACCCCAGAACTATTTGGTGTTTTCTGATTTTAGAAATAGGAATCTCCCGGGACCGGCATGGCCACCGGCATTTTCATATATTTAAAGTTCTTGGGGTTTGCCCCTACACGACCCTTCTGTTAATTTCACATGGCTGGACAACCAACCACCTGTGGACTACAGGCAAGGTAACACCTTCTCAGAGAAGCCAACCTCCCTGCCCTGGAACTCTGACAGCCCAATTATAAACATGGTCCCAGCTCCTCCCCTCCGTAACAGGACTCTGCAGCTCCTCCCAGGCTCGGCTCCTGACTTGTGTTGGCCCACAGAATGCAGAGGAAGGGGCTTCGTTCTGGCTCCAAGCCTCCCTTTTCAGGGGACCCCACCCCGTGTCCAGGCTAACCTGCTGGTAGATGAGAGACTTTGCAGCACAGAGTTCAATCAGCAGTTGTCCCAACTGAGCCTGGGGACACATGACAGAGCTCAGCTCAGAGCAGTAGAGGCATCTTACCAACCCATAGCTGACTGCAGACACGACTAAACCCAGGCGAGCCCAGCTCTGAACAGCAGAGCTGCTCAGCTGACCTACTAGTATACAGGCTCATAAGCCACTGATGTGGGTGGTTTATTACGCACCATCACTGCCATCACTGTGGCAACAGATAACTGGTGCAAGGCCACAAAGCAAGAGACTGCAAGCTGGACCTCTGGTTTTGGAACCCAATGGCCTTTCCTCCATATTACACTTGACCTTAGGTTTGGATTTATTAGACTCTGACTGTGACAGCCATGTAATTTTAAAGGTCAAATACCTCCTATAGTTGTAAGAACAGAGTGAGAGGGAACTTCCCACGTGCCTATGGATCTCAAACATGCCTTGCTCATTTTCTGTCCACAACTAGAGTGAGTAAGAACCATGGGCCCTGCTGTGCCATTCATTACTCAACATTCTCAACTGGTTTGTGGATGGGCAGTTAAAATATATTATTTCCATTTAGTTTAATGGATCTCTGATGCATTATTCAAAGACTTTACACATAATGAATAATCACCCACATTATTATAGCCTATCTTTTCCTCTTTCATGAGAATTTCAGAAGGGAGGAACATAAAATGTAGGTTGTAATTATCCAAGGGTAGCTGTAAACACATTTCATTTTTCTAAGGATTTGAAAAAGGGACGTGAAAACAACTGAGCTCTGGACAAGTTCT